GCAACAAATGTACATATGTGCTTGACACAATGGATGTATGTATGGATTGTGATAAGAGTTGTACAAGCTCCCAATAAAATGATTTAAAAAAATTCAATGGGAACTTCAGATTCTATTAATAAAAATCATTTTAATTCCTGGAAAAAAGTTAACATAGAAAAGAACTAGGATAACTATTATCTATCTAAAATTAATAGTTGAGGTAAATAGAATTTATTAATTAAAATCATAGTCATTGTCCAAAAAAAGTGGGGGGAAGCGGAGAAGAACATAGGAAACATAGCACTGCTGAGCTTCCCAGGACACCTCCAAAAACTCCTTTTTACCTTTATCCTTTTATAGCTCTGAATTAGGTCTCATTATCTCATGTACCACTCTGGTATTTATCTTTCATCAAATAACCTCCTAACTTTCAGATACACTGGGCTGTTCTAAAGACAGCCCTAAACCAAAACCAAACCAAACTCACTGCCATCGAGTTGATGTTAAGTCACATTGACCCTCTAGGACAGGGTACAACTGCCCCTGAATTTCCGAGACTGTAAATGTTTACGGGAGAAAAAAGCCTCATCTTTCTCCTGAGGAGCAGCAGGTGATTTTGAACTGCTGACCTGCAGTTCACAACTCAACGTGTAACTGAAAGATAGCTAGATTAGGAGATAATGTGGGTTGTCTCCATTGAATGCCTACACTAAATGAAAATTAGCTGGCACTGCCACAGTAAAAGGGCTGGAAAGAAATCAGGCATACTAATTAGACACCTATGGGAAAATCCAGAGCAGCGCATGCACAGACTAAGGCCACCTAGGCCTAGTGGAAGCCAACCTGGGCACACCTACACTAGGAACCAGCATTATTACATCACAGGTGCGCCTAAACTCAGCCAATAAGATCGGCCAATACCCTCAACCACGCCTCCCCAGCCAGTGGGAATAGGAAGGGATCAATACCAGACTGAGGGGAAGCCACCCCTTTTGTTCAGGTTCCACCTAAAAGAGATTTTAGGTGGAAGGGTCTGCCAGGTGCCTTTGTGCTCTCTGGGGCTCACATTCTCTTGGTTTTCGTGTTTTGGTTTCAGGCGCTCTTTTGGCTCTGTGGATTCTTTCACCATTCCTGAAGCAGCCATTTTCAGTCACAAACTTTCCCACAGCCCCCACCATGCAGCCTTGCATGCTTTCCAGAGACAGCAAGAACTTTCAGAGAGTGTAATATCTAAAACTTTCCTTTCCCTCCTAAAAGTTACTTGGATTTACAATCGTGCTTCTGCTGTGTGAATTCTTTCAGCATTGAGAAGAAGAACCGAGGTAAACCATCTCAGAAACCTAACATAACAAGTACTCCAGTAGGGCTCTTGAAGAAAGGCCTAGTTCTGACTAATACTTTTCTTGGGCCTCTGTGCTGCAGACCAGAAAGGGGATCATAAGTGCTTGGCTGGGGCAGACTCCATCTCACCACCTGAACCTTCCTTGCCTTGTGCTCCTAGACTCTATATTCTACCCTTTGGTCTACTCTTGGCCTAGAGATGAGAAAAGATCTTGCCCAATTGATTTCAGGGGAGAGTGATTGTATCTGTAATGTTGATATTTTGATGAAGATTTAGTAAGCTGGAGGGAACTCTATGGGCAACAACAAGCAGGACTGGTTTGAAGTAGACTCCAGTAAAACCACAGAAAATTCTGAACTGGAATCAAATTAGGAAAGATTCCAGCAGGAGAATATAAGGAGAATGGTATTGGGGAGGGGTGGAGGGTGGGGAGGGAGGAGGAGACTCTTTGATAAAAAGTGGGTCAAAATGTCCACGAAATACTAAAGTCCATGAGATTATGGAGGTTTGGCTAGCTTATCTCTGTGCTCATTGACCGGAGAAGCCATGCCCTAACTCCTCAACATCAGGCATTCAGTGATCATTCAGAAATTTGCACACAGACTGAAAAGGTGTCTTGTGAAGTGAAAGTAAGAGGCAATACCATTACCTTGGTGGAAACAAGGAGGAAAGAAAGCAGAAATAAGGATGTTCCAGCACACAAGAAGAAAACAGGGTCTGGTGGAGGCAAAATAGAATTCATTAAAAAAAGAGATCACTTATTTGATTATTCCTATGGATTCTAAACCCTTTTAAGAAAAGACAGCAACTCCCGACTTCAGGAGGTGCTAAAAGAATAGGAAAGTATTTAGGGGTGGTGGTGCTACTTTTAAAAAACAAAACATTACAAAGACAAAGGCAGGAAGGAAGTAGAAGAAACGCTGCGGGCTGGGGGTGGGGGTCAGAAGAGAACAAAAAGAGGACAGGAAAGATGCAATGTGGAGGCAGAGGAGGGGGCAGAATACGGAGGAGATAGCTCCAAAGACCAACTGAGCAGCTCTTTTGATGCTCTGGGTACCACTTCCAGGGGAATAGAGACAGAAAAAAGGCTAGGGGTTCTGAATCCTATTTAAAATAAATGATCAGAAGTTAAAAATGCCCCGTATAAGAAACAAAGTTCTGCACCTTAAGGAGAGGTTTGAGTAAGGCAGTGTGTTAAACAGGAGAAAGTGTTAAGACCTGAGTCTTCTGAGGCTCAAAAAGGGCAGGGGTATAAGGGCGATTTTTTTTTTTTTTAATTGGCCTGGGAAAGAGGGACCAAAGGGAGAAAAGAAGCATCACTGGTCAGAATCTCCTGGGATGGTAGGAGTATTTGTTTCCTCTGGTCCTTTTGGAGATCTTCTTATAATAACTCAGGCTAAAGATCTAGTTGTGTCATCCACTAGCTATGTACCTTGCATAAGTTTCAACTTGTGAAGAGCTTGGTTTTATTTTGCCAAATTGTGTCAATAATAACACCTCAGATGACTTATGTGAGAACACAGTCAGGTGGCATATGTAAAAATATTTTTAAGCTGTATATAATAGCTGTAAATTAGTAGTATCCCAGGGGTACAGTTTAATTCCTTGTGTTGGAGTTTAAGCTGCATGTGATCATAATGATGGCTGGGGCACTAGTACTGATTCATACCCCTGCTGAAAGTTTCTTAAGTGAGACCCTGGGCAGAGGCTGCTATTAAGTGAACTGAAAATACCAGATTAAAAGTACCAACCTAGAGGGGTTCTCTAGTTCTCTAAAGCTTCCCCACCCCACCACCCCCACTACCATGACCCAGTTCTACCTTACAAATCCGACTAGACCTGAGCATGTACATTGTTATAGATAAGAGCCCTTGACACATGGAATGCAGAACAGATAAACCCCCCAGGATCAGTAATGGGAGTAGCAATACCATGAGAGTTGGGGAAAGTTGGGGGATAAAGGGGGAGAAGGGGGAACTGATCACAATGATCAATGTATACCCCTTTCCCCCAAGGGAACAAACAAGAGAAACGTGGGTAAAAGGAGACAGCAGATAGTATAAAATATGAAAATAACATTAATTTATAATTTATCAAGAGTGGAAGGGTGGGGGGAAAAAGAGGAGCTGATACTAAGGGCTCAAGTAGAAAGAAAATGCTATGAAAATGATGATGTCAACATATGCACAAATGTGATTGATACAATTCATGTATGGATTGTTATAAGAGCGATAAGAACAAAAAAACCCCAAAATAATAATTTATAAATTATCAAGGTTTCATGAGGGAGGGGGGAACGGGGAGGGAAGAGGGAAAATAAGGAGTTGATGCCAGGGGCTTAAGTGAAGAGCAAATGTTTTGAGAATGAGGAGGCAATGAATGTACAAATGTGCTTTACACAATTGATGTATGTATGGATTGTGATAAGAGTTGTATGAGCCCCCAATAGAATGATCAAAAAAAAAAAGAGCGATAAGAGCCCCAATAAAATGATAAAGAAAAATAAAGTAAAACAAAATACCCTAATCGATAAGCAAGGTGAGTGACATTCAGGAGAGGTCTCTCTCAGAAATGATAGTTCTGATATGTAGAGGAAATAAGTTCTTGGAAAAAGAAATAGGCAGAGTACATGAAAATACTTAAAAAAAGAAAATATTTCGCCAAAGAAGACATTGAGGTGGACAACACACATGAATAAATGTTTACAATCATTATTCATTACAGAGACACAAATTAAAATGAGACATCAGAATAGCAAAGTTAAAAGAAAACAAACAAACAAACAAATCCCAAATGCTGGTGAGGTTGTAGAGAACTGGAACCCTTATTCCTTGCTGATAGGATTGTAATATGATAAAACCACCATGGAAAAGCAAGTCAATCACAGAAGGGCAAATATTGTATGAGATATTATAAATATCAAGAGAATAACTTCATATGAAAAGAAACATTCCCCCCACCACATCGAGGCAAAATACTAAGGGCATGTAACAGAACAGCAAGGGAAGCAGAGCAGGGAAGTCCCATGGGAGTACCAAAAATAGACTTTGGGGCCAGGGAGTGGCACCCCATCAGATTCAACACTCCTAAAGGTCAACAAACAGACCTGGAACTATTTACAGGCTTTTCTATTTTTTGTCATTAGTTTTATTGCTGTTGTGGTTTTGTTTTCTTTTGTTGTTTTGTCTTATTTTTGTTGTGTGCATATTATTATTTCTGCAGGTCTATCTAGATAAGATAGGCTGGATAACAATTTGGAGGAGAAAACAATAGGACCAATGATTCTGGGGGGACATTGGAGAGGGGGAGGTGGGGGCTGGTGTTTACTAACCCAGGGACAAGGGAACAACAAGTGATCCAAAATCAGTGGCAAGGCGGGTGTAAGAGGCCTGGTAGGGTGTGATCAAGGCAATGTAACCGTGAGGAATTACTGAAATGCAAATGAAAGCTGAGCATGATAGTGGGACAGGAGGAAAGTAAAAGGAAACAGACGAAAGAACTAGGAGGCAAAGGGTATTTATAGAGGTCTAAATACAGGCATGTACATATGTAAATATATTTATATATGAGGATGGGAAATAGATCTATGTGCATATATTTATAGGCTTAGTATTAAGGTAGCAGATGGACATACTTGAGTGGCCTCCACTCAAGTACTCCCTCAATGCAAGAATACTTAGTCTATTAAACTGGCATTCCATGATGCTCACCATCCCGATATGATCACTGAAGATAAAGCGGGTGCATAAGCAAATGTGGTGAAGAAAGCTGATGGTGCCCAACTATCAAAGATATAGTGTTTGGTGTCTTAAAGGCTTGAAGATAAACAAGAGGCCATCTAGCTCAGAAGCAACAAAGCCCACATAGAAGAAGTACACCAGCCTGTGTGATCACGAGGTGTCGAAGGGA